GCAGGCTGAACTATAGAAACCAGGACAACAGTACATGCTGCTATTTACTACTTAACACCTTCTATGATGACAAGTTTTGCACCTGGATGATTCTGTGTCTTTTATTTCATTTGATTTGAATCCTCTTCTAAACCAAGAGAAGAGTGAGCTGAGTCAGAGTCAAGGGTTTGCTCCTTTACTCTTGCCCTCTCCTACTTCACTGGATGACTCCTGGCATTTTATTGAGAAAGCTGCATAATGTTTGAACCCCTTATTGATTAAAAAGGAGAGGAGGAAATGAAAAAGAAATGAAAGAATCCATACAGTGAGGTCTATGCATCAGCACAGGGAACGCAATTAACCTTAGAGAGCAGTAGTAGTAAAAAGGAACAGAACAAACTGAAATAATAAAGCTGGCTCTGAATTCTACCATGGTGTCATGGACAGATTGTGCTGGAAAGCTTCAGCTCTGTGGAACTTTGGGGTGAGGGGGGTTAATTATCTCTCTGTGAAACATTCATTACAGCACCTGGAACTACACAGAACTCACTGGGCTGCAAGTTCATTGAGAGGTTCATGATCCTTTGGAGCAAACGCAGAGTCATTCTGGCATGAAACTGTTTCACTTTGCTCCCTGCTCATCTAGACCTCTGCCTCCTACATGCTGTAGAGCCGATGCTTTTTCTCTGCTTATTCCTGTGATTATGGCTTGGACTGTCGTTTGCTGTGTTCGCGCAATATGTAGCACAATGGGGCCCTGATACTTACATGGAGCCTCTGGGTGGGAGTGTGATACAAATAATAATGCTCCTGAGCAGCCAGGACATTTTGGCTGTGCTGTCTTTCAGATAGTGTCATTTCTTCACACACTTCACTGACTGGCCATACTCCAGCATGATTTTAAGCTTCTTTTCCTAACCTTTGAGCCTTATCTTGCTTTTGCCCTTTCACCCCAGTCTGGGCTCTTACTAGTTTGCATTGCTCCATCAGGCCTGCTTAATTATCTGCTTTTTTTAATCACAAGTACTCTCTGAGCTTTCATTTGCCCACCTACCCTTTCACAAAGCAGTTCAAGCAGTTAGCAGAGACTTTGCTGTTACAGCCTTCTTTCAGTTTCCCATTCAGTTTGATGCCTATAGAAAATCTCATATACAAAGATGGGCAGGGAATGGGTCAATATACACATAAAAGATCTTAAAGACAATCTGGCATTGTACAAATGGAATTTGAGCCATAGCTCTGGGGTATTTCTCACTTCACCACCACCACCACCTCCTTTTCATCTCTGCAGCCCGAGGGGCTGCGTTGCTCTGCTGGAAGCTCCAAGGGTGTGTGGAACTACACTGCAAAAAGGACCAACATTCAAAAAAACCTCCATCTTTGCTTTTTTGGGCTTTATTCAGAGAAGATTTCAAACCTTTCCTAAATTTTGTAGCAGATGATTCACTGGTGATGGCAAGAATTCATATCTCTTCATCTAGCATACTATATCATTAGCTCTGTTAGGGTAGTCTGAAGTTTGGTAAATGTGGCTGTGTTCTCTTCGAGGAGGATGACAAAATTAAAGTTTATTCTTCCTCCTGCTGGTATAATTAAAAAAGGAAAGAAAAAAAAACGAAGGGAGAATCCAGGATCTTTTTATTTAAAATAAAGTGTTAACAACCTGGAATTTGTCATCTAGTTAGTTGCCCCATAGAAAGTTAACTAGATCAAATCGCTTGAGCAGGAAAGGCAAGAGAAATATCATGTGTGTGAATCTTCCCGAAGTTTACCTGGGAGTTAGTGACAAATCCTCTTGGCTGACTGGCATAAAGTGTTGAATTCTCGGGAAACCTTGCAGTTTAATTCAGAGGCACCCGAGGAATTTATGTTCTTCCAAAGTTTAGTCCTAACTAGCTGGGTATTTTGAGAAGCATGTCTGAATTCAGACATGTAAATCCCAGCTAATCTTCTGTCTCTGCATGTGGGGTCCTTGCACTTCCTGCCTTAAAGTCAAGAGAGAGAAAATCAGAACACAACAGGGAGAGGACTGGCAGCTGTGTCAGGACAGAGATGAGCTCTTCTGTGTCAGTGGGAGCTAGATTAGGCAGAATTTAAAGTTGTAGCTCCTGAGGACAGAGATGACAGGCATTTATCAAAAGGTTAGGGAGACTGTACAAAAAGCAAGACATAAAAGACTAAGAAGAGACTAAGGATTAACAATAAGTAAGCAAACAGTATGAAGGAATAGAAAAACATGGTCAAATGAGAGATGAAGTACAGAAGGTGTCAGAACTGAGCTGTGACTTGAAGGTGGGAGGAAAAGAGGAAAACAAATAATTATGGAGAAAAATATTCACTGACAGCATTCCAAAGGGATTGCTTAATATCAAAGGCCACATTGTCTGTCATTGCCTTATAAATAAGGCCAGTAATCCAGCCTGAGATTGCAGACACTGGGCCAAGTAAGGGAAAATAACCTTGCAAGCAACAGCGAACAGCTTCAGAAAAGTCACCATGGACACTGCTGCAAGTTCAATGGACACAGGAGAAATGTTTGAAAGGATTAATCCATAGAGCAGGAGAGACAAATGCAATGGGAAACTGAGGCAGATGGAAGAAAATGGGCTGAGAATAAGAGATAAATTCTGTTCCTTCATATTTCCTGTAGCACCTAGGAAAATGTGAATCCATCTGTAACATCTTCCCTCAGAGCTGAGGAGCAGCTGCAGGGCATGCTGTAAGCACAAAGCCCTGGTCTTCATCTGCTGATGGCATGCCACTCTGGCTGTGAAGAAAGCCCAGTGAAGATACAAACTTCAGCTTGTTCTTTTCTTGTCTGAAAACTGCAGGCAAATCCTCACTGCAATTTTACTTCATAATGGTGAAAGTAAAGGATCTCTGTTTTTCTCTAGCCTGTTATCCAAAGTAGTCCCATACACAACCCACAGAATGGAAGAGGTGCCTGGTACAGTGAAAAATTGGCTTCTGTTTTGCATTTTTAACAGAATAGTAACAGCGCCTTACTCTTCAGATAACAACAGTTCTAGTTTTCTCTCCGATCCAAAACTTTATGTACATATGAAGAGTCTGTTAGGGAGTCAGAGTGTGCTACATAAACCAAAAAATTTCAGAAATGCTTCTTACCTAGCAAATTTCCTGAACTTTGAGCAACCTTGGCAGCAGCTTTTCTTTATTATCTGGTGAATTCAAAATGGAATGCTAAAACTTTATCAGAAAACCCCAACAGTAAATGTGAAATATGTGCTTTTATGAATAAATTACCAGATAGATATCTAGTGTTAGTGACGATTTTGTGTATTATTGTTGTTATCTGGCACAGCCTGATTGTATAAATGACCTTAAAATACTTTCCAATGCAGTCTGCTTTTGGAAGATTTTAACGAGGAAGTGAGGTGAGCAAGCTATCAAAAAGGAAGGTAGAAGTATTAGTGGCAGGGCTGAAATACTTTGGATTATAAGAAATAATTTTCTGATATCAGACTTCAAAATCCGTGGTAGCTCTTTTCCCCCCTCTTTTATTTCATCACATCCCTTTTAAAAACGTTTCTGAAGGCTGCAAAGTTCAGGATGTAATCACATCAGCACTTGCAACCCTACCAGAATGGCTTCAAACAGGAAGTACCACCACCAATGAGAAGCAGTTACGGACTATGCCAGCATTTGCACAGCAATACCAAAAAAAAGGCAACCCCCAACCCCCCCCCCCCTTTTTTTTGCGCAGCCCATCAGTAAGCCAGTTCTGCTACATGCTGCAGTAGACTACAAGTCTATGCCAGGGCAACTGATGCATCTCTGCTGAGAAGAATCACAGGATTTTATGTGATGCCCACCTGTTCTCATGCATTGAGCTTGTATCAGAAAAAAAAACCCCAACAAAACTAAAACAGTCTTGAAGATGAACAAAAGCAAGAAAACAAATAAGCAGCAGTTGAAGCTCCTGCTTTTGAATTCAAGCCTGACTTGCTAGTAACTTTATATTTGTTTCCAACAAAACACCACACTATGCTACTTCTCAAAATTTTATTTGCAAAGTAGAGTTAATGCAAATTTCTTAGCCCCTTGCTAAGTTGTCAAAACCATGTTTTGTTTCTGTAATTATGAAGATTATAGTATTTTTAAGGGAGAATTCATGAAAGTCTTCATAGCACTTGAAATTAGTTTTTTTGGAATTATTGTGAAAGCAAAAAATACCACTTTCATTATTTGGAATGATTTTGATTTACCTGGAATGGAATTTTAGAGAGCAACAGTGCAATAAAAAAGAGAGATTCAGTGCTCCTGTCCTGATCCAACCAAAATGACATTACAAGGATACACCAAATGAAATGTAGGTAATGCAGCTAGAAATTTCCAGAGGCACTATGCTAATTTCAAAGGACTAATATTTCTTCTGTACATTCCAAACAGTGACTAAAAGTGCATGTAAAATTTCTTTGCTTTTTCAAGGTGTGTAAAAATCACATCCTTAAAGTTTTCTAAATCACGGTCTCAAGATCAGTTGATGGCTTTTCCTTAATTTGCCATAACCACAATTAGTTTATTGACTAGAATAATGCCTTATAATTTCTTTTAATTAGAAGAAAACCTTGTAATTAACAACGGAAATAATTGATCTCCTTTAAAGAAAGCACTACAAAGTAATACATTACTTGCTCATGAATTGTAAAAAGGTAAAAAATAAATAACAATTTCTAAAGTAAAGATGGCAGGGAAGGGGAATACTATCTTCCTCCTTAGTTTTCAGAATTACTTTCTTTTGTTTACAAATAATTTATGCCAGCTTTCTGGTAAAAATATCATTCAGACAACTTGAATTTTGGGTGAGATTCAAGCTAAAATCATTCATTCAGCCTGATCTGGTAAATCAATGAGAGTAAAAGGTGTATAGGAAATAAGTTGCACTTCTCATCTGTCAGTTTGGCTTCTGAAGCTCCATATGCTTAGTAAATTAGTTAAAAACTAAGCTCTTGATTCAAAGGTATTTGAAAGGTTGCCACGGACTGAAAAGTAATTTGGATTGGGCTCTATGACCAGCACCCTTATTTAAGGCATGTAGTAGTATTTCCCTCTTGGGTACCTACAGTGATGCTCAGGATGAAGATCGATTCAAGTTACAGAACTTGGCTGGGGTACAGGGCTGTCCTGGACTTGAACGAACTGGTCTGGATAAAGAAAAAATAACTCCAAAACCTCTGTGTCCTGGTCTAGTTTAAAATTCTTCTCACTTTTCTAATTATGCAGCTGAAGCTGCTCTTTTAAGCACCTTGGGTTGAGTTGTAACATAGCTGGCCAGTCACAAGGTAAGATGGGATTGAACTAGTTCTAGTCCAGCTGAAGTGAGTGTTAGAAATTTCATTATCAGGCTTCTTTTGTTTGAAGGGCAAATTGGGTCAGTTATGCAGTCTAGGTTTCAGGTTTATAGGTACAGAAAATTTGAATAGATTCAGCAGAATCAGAAAGTCCTACTTTATGAAAAAAAAATATTCCAGAAATTGAGGAGCGCTGGGGAATGATGAATCTGCTAGAGACTTTGCTACTCCAAGGAGCTAGATTGTCTGCAGAAGGGGTTGGGTAGCTGTTAGATTGGAATTCAGACTGGTTGCTTTTCCCAGAACTGGGGTTGCAGAAATCTTTCCTTCTTTAAAACAGATAGAAATGTAAGTGGATCCTTCCATCAAATGAAAAATTAGTTGGTTTGAGGTTTTTTGTTTTGTTTTGTTTTGTTGCATTTTGCTTGTTTTTTAATTCCCTTCCATAAGCTCTTTCCTATGATTAGAATAGAAATGGAGGGAAATACACTCTAATAAGGCAATACTCGCATTTCATGATGAAAGTCTGTTTAATTTCCATGTTTGGGTCAAGTTTTTTTTGTACTCACCATGATAACATGAACCATTCTGACCTCCATTCATCAGTTAATGGGGCTGTACAATAAAGTGAAACTCTCCAACAGAGAAGAATGCTACAACCACTGTTCGTGATATGCAATGCTATGGCTTATTCTCTGTTGTCAAGCAGAGAAGGGGATGAACTCTTCATCTCATCTGCAGGAAGCAGGGTGCTTGGAAGCCTGTGGTAAATCGTTTATTTTGATGAGCTCCTTTTCATTTGAGCTTGCAGCATTTGATATTCTTCAGTTACACCCTTACCGAACACTGTTGAGGCTGTGAGTGAATTGCCATTCATATATATCAAGTGATGTGTTTCTGCACTTGTGTAGCATCTGCCATAAAGGATCTCAAAATTCTATACAAACTTTAATGAGTAAGATTTCACAACACTCCCGGGAGGTGCAGAAGTACTGTTAACCCGATTTAATAGGTAAAGAAAGCAAGATGCAGAGAAATCAGTAGATGCATATTCAGACCCCTGCCTCCACCTGCATATATATTCTGCAAACTTTTGTTCATACAGAAATCAAATATTCAATACCCCTAAAAAAGCAAATTGAAACTTTCATTTGCAGGTTCCTTTGGGAGAAAAGGATTTGGTAAGTATACCTTTCAGTACTGAGGCATTCAGAAATGCTCCACATTTTTGAGTAGGCATACAGGTATTTGCAAAACAAAATAAAACAAAAAATCTCATGTGCATTCAAACCCTCATTTTTTTCTTATGCACATTTGGAAGCAGATTTGGGGCTCACAGCTGTCACATACTGAAACATGGTTGTATGTTCTGCAGGAGAATACGGCTTGCTGGGGAAACCACAATGGCTTGAGATGGTCTGGTTTACATTAATTAGCAAGCGTCTCTTGCCGTGGTGAAGGCTCCCCAGAAAATTGCTACTCCGGTTAGGCATTGCTATTTTTGTGGTACTGAAACACAGACTATTTCGAATTATTGGGGAATAGTTTTCCTTTAAGGAGTCACCGGTTATTCTCCTGCTGACAGGTCTGCTGGAAAGCCCTGGCAACTGCCTTCCCTTCTCCTTCCTCGGGACGGAGGGAAAGTGAATCAGTACCATTCCTAGAAGAAACAGTAGGGGATGCTGTGGGGTAAAAAACCCAATCCTTGCTTCCCCCACCTCCCAAGGCCTCTCCAGAAGAACCCACAGCACTTCCCACTTTTAGGAGCTGAAACCCAGCACAAAACTACAACCAGTTGTGTTTTGGGAGAACAAAAAGCCCTAATTAAAGGGCCATCCGAGTCACTGCTGAATAATTATTTTCCACTTTTATTTTCAAATTGGAAATGATAATTTTATTTAATTCCACTGCAAGTGATGTGGAGGAGCCAGGTGGCATGCAGTTTGATTGGACTGGATCTGATCTTCCAAATGGAAAGATTTAAAAAGTTCAGCACCATGGCAAAATAGATATTTTCCACATTTGTAGCAGTTAATTAGTTCAGACTGAGGGAAACACATCACATAAAAAAAAAGATCTTCCTCCGGGTATTTATCAAATGTCTGGAAACCGAGAACTGACTGTATCTGAGAAGCTAGATCTACATCTAAAAGAAAATCGCTGTTGACAGGTTCCCAGAAAAATAACCTCCTGAAAATCTGAGATAATTAGTTATTAGAGTCTACATATTTATGAGTGATTTGGAGTGGGAGAACATGCTTCTTTACCCAGCTCTTAGTATTGAAATCTAAATCATTTGGGTTACTACAGAGTTTTCTGAAGGCTTTACTATTCCTTATCATAATCGGATATGTGATAAAACTGTTGTAATCGTAAAAGAATCTCTGGTAACGGTGTTTCAGCTTGACTGGCAGATAAAGGTAATCAAATGCCAGGTTTCAGGGCATAAACTAATTGCCTGCAGAGGTCGGAAGGAATTGTTTCCTTCCAGGTGCTGTACTGCAACAATAATCAAGGTATACAATGCATTTTGTAGTGAGATGGTGTCCCAGAATTAAACATTTCTCTGAAATTTTATTTATTTGCCATTTATTTATTGCCATCTGGCCGGGCACCAGACCTACTGGACCATGTAACTAACTTGGTACAGCAAATCTTATGGGAAAGTAATTCTATTCAAACATGCAATACAATGTTAATCCTTAGATTTTGACAGCAGACAGTATGTTCTGACAAAGACTGTCTTATTAACTCTGCTAATAAATGTGTCTGTGAATAAGAAAGAAAAATAGTTTACCTCAGTATTTGGACTACACATTTCATGCATGCAGAGGAACTAGCTTGTCTTTTATGAAGGTGGATTTTTTCACACTGTTTTCATATTGCATACCATGCATGGATGCCACATGCTAATAATGACTGGGCAAAACTATACTTTTTCCTTTCCCAGATGGCTTCCCTGTAAATATTTTTAAGTCACATCTGCATGGTTAAAAATGTCATATCCCAGCATTTGAAAGAATAATGTATCCCCTGAATCAAATTTGTTCCTGATATGGGGCCAGTGATAGCAATTCAGTTTAATCAGCTGTATGTTTGGATAGTTGGTTCATTCCAGAAGATAAGGTGCTAGAGAGGAAAATTAGCATGCTGGCTCGTTTTAGAGTAGTTGAATGTTGTCACCTTAGAAAACCCTCAAGACCCAAACCACAGTAATACTGGGATGACCAGGATTCCTGTTTTGCCCTACTTTTCTCTATCAGCTCTTGATTTACATGCTGATTAAACTTTAGTGCTCTTATTGCTGCAGACATCAATTTTTCTTACCAATTGGCTGTGAATCTTTCCAGAGTTTATGAAATAGTGGCCATAAACTAATGTATGCACTGTCCTAAATTCCTGTAGTGCTGATGCCTAGTAGGGCTGAAGTCCTTGCACTGAAAAAAAATTAGAGCATTTGCTGGCTGCCATTAAGTAAACTCTGGTTATGGTCTGATCTGGCTGATGTATATTTTGTTTATAATAGACATGGTAACAGGATTAAGGCAAACGGGAAAAAAAAAAAAGTATTCTTTTGTCATAGCATGTAAAAATATGCTATTTTATATTTAACATAGAACTCATTGCTATATATTGTATATAACAGGCCTTTGGATAGGTGTTTTTCAATCCAAGGGCCTGAGTATGGCTCCCTGGTGAAGAAGTCTCTTTAACCCAGCTGGATGAGTCCTTGAAAGGACAAATGAATCAGCAGCTGCCCTGTGTGCACCCCTGCTCCACCTGCCCAGCTGGCAGAGAGGGGATACTGGGAAAAAGGTTTGGAAGAGGAGGAAGATCACCTCAGGTTGGTATTATTACTTAATCAATAATGACTAAATGGAGGAAAAGTGAGAGGAAGAAGAATATAAATGAGTAAAAAGAAAGTTTGTGGTGGATGATAGGCTTGGAGAAGATTTCAAATAATATGATATCAAATATGTGTTTATTCCAATTAACTTTGTGACAGGCATGTTCAAGGAGATTTAAATGCAGCTTTTAATTGGTATACTTTCCAGGGCATGGTAGGTGTTTGATCATTTTAGGTAACAGAACAGCAGAAGGGAAAATTAAATTGACAGAATGCAGAGAGAGAAGATGAAAGCTACGTGTGGCATAGAACTATATTATTACAAATATTAGTAAGTAGATCACATCTATTCGTTATTGATTTTTATTTTTTTTTCTGTCTTACATATTTACTGTAATTGGCTTTTGCAGCAGCAGTCCCCACAGTGGTACAGACTGAAGCCTGATGCTAACTCCTTGGCTGTACTGATTTTTTTTGGTGCTGGATGGGAGACCAGATGAGTGGCCTTTCATTGAAGGGCTGTCTCATGAGGGTCATTCCTGAGCAAGAAACAAAGGATGCCAGTGCAGCAAAGATTGTTGCTATTTGCATGCTTACCCTGCCAATCACAAGGTATGTGCTTCCTTTAAGTGCATGCTTATGTGCTATTGACTTTGAGCAACTCAAGGTTAAACACGTGCTAAATGCTTTGTTTTGCATGCTGAGTCTGAACCAGAGGAGGAAGCAGTGACAGGTTTGTTAGTTCTGTTACCAGCCGCACAGTTCCCCCTTCTTTGCTATGTTATTATTTAGTCCAGCAATGATTGGAACAGCCACACTTCCAGGCAGCAATGTGAAGTTCCTTAGGACAGCTCATTACAAGTAAGACATGCTCTCATGTGCTTGGAAAATAAAGCTTCTGTATTTCCATTTTCCAGAAGTCTGTTTGATGCAAAAATTTGAAGCAATTCATGGACCTTGCCTGTTGGTACTTAGTGAGAACATTAATTGTCTCCAATCATTGTTAGAGCATCTGTTTCACATTTTGGCAAGTGCACTTATCTCCTTTGCTCCTACCCCTCCCTTTCACATTCCTCGACTAAAGGTAATGAATAAATTACAGAGAAATGACAAACGTGTTGATAATCAAGAGGAAGAAAGAAAAAAAAAACAAAACACCACCCTGAACTGGAAGTGGCTATTTCTGTGTGAAGCTGTAAATTGCTTTCTTTTCTTGTTCAGTGAAACTTCTGGCTTGCCATCTAAAAATACCGGAGAATGATTAGAAGTGTTGGAAGAGAGGAGGCTTTCAGCAGCAAAACCTTCAGGGTTGCTCACCTTGTTGGGAAGAAGATGAGGGTGCACTGAGGAATCAGGAAGGGCTGAAAGCAATGTGAGAACCTGGGCAGCTGGTAAATCAGGATGGTGAGGAGAGAGTTAAAAGGTTTAGTTTTAATTAGGATTTAATGAGTGGATATTATGTTTTTGAAAGCAAAGGGCTGGACTGAGGCAGAAGGCACAGCAGAAGCCTTGTTTTTCCATCTTCCTCCTTGGCAGTAGAGACTGCCTGTGTGGGACCCAGGCTTTTTACAGCCCATTCACTGAAACAGCATTCCTAGAGCAGCTTCCTGCTAAAGACTGCCATTGGCTTTTCCTGTTTGTGGCGGAGACAATGAGAGTGGTAGCACTGCACTGCTGCTTTGGGCCCACGGTGAGAGCAGCTGAGTGTTCGGTGCTGGCCTGGCCACAGCGAGCTGGCCAGCGCAGCAGCTGCCCCTCTGGTGCCATACAGCACATTTACTGCAGTGGGCAGTGCCAATGGCCTTCCTGACCCTCTCATGCTTCCTGCAGTAAACCCACATTTGCTACTAGCTTAAAGCACATTGGATTGTTTTAACCTTCACACTCCTGGTGTGTTTAATGGAGCAGAGCAGTCCTCACTTTCTGCATTCTCTGCTATTCCAGTCATAGGATGTGCCCACATCAGAGGCAGTGTAATTCCCTACTTGTCTGAAGCTTTAATCTTCTCATCAGCAACTGAATTTGCTAACAGTTCCTCTGACTTTACAAAAGCTGCAATATTAGTTTAGTTTTGTGCCTCTCTAGGACAGGCATATCAGCACTAGAGAAGGAGCTATGTATGTGTTGTAAGACCATGTTTGACATCTGTAAATTGGAATAAAATCAGGCTCTTAAGCAAAATTGTGGTAGTTTATATGGTTTTTAACATGATTGCATGATAATATGTGGGAAATTTCCACAGTGATATTAGGATTCCAAGCCTCTGCATTTTAATCACTGCCTCTCTTGAACTGAAATGGATGCAGTATACAGCTAAATAATTAAATTAAACATTATTTACCTCAAAGTCTGCACAATACTTTTTGACAGAACATGAAGGGCTGTGAAGTGTATTAATTCATCTTTTGGTTTTAAAAATTTCATGAACTTATGGCATTCTTGTTCATTAAAATTTAAATCTGGATAAATACGGGATAACTTCAGCTCACTGTATTTTCATATTTGTCGAAGACTGAGACATATGTACAAACCAATCCCTTCATGAATAAATTGTATTATTATTCCAATGGAAGTACTTTTTTTTTGCAATGTGATAATTACTTGAGGTGGGCACAGTGATGGGGATGATTATAATTAGCATTTTTCAGAATTGTGCCGTTTTAAAAGATCATTGCCAAGCTGCTGGGGGATATATTTCTAAGTATCATGAACTTCATTACACAGATGAATAAACTCAGGCAAAAGTGAGTAACTGCTCCCTTACAGCAGAAAAAGTCACTGAATGAATTCATCTGGGGACTTTACAACTCAAAATGTAACATTTTCTTCCAGGCTTGGATAGGTTAATTAACATTTAAGTTCATTAGTAACTCAGGTCTATAATTTGAAGGCTGTTCTGTTGCCAATGTGACATGTGTAGATGGTCTCTAGTTCTGGCTGAACTTGTGTCTTCAGCTCAAAGGAGCCTTGCTTTTGTCAGGCACAGCCTCTCTGAAGACATCTGCAGATGTCTTTTCCTTCTTGTCTGGACTGTAGCTGTTGTCACCCTGGGATCACAGACTGCTGCCTTTGGCTGCGGTGACATTTTAACAAGTCAGATAAAGGAGCTAAAAGATTCCACTAGTTTTCACCAGTACATATTTCCTTCTGTCCCAGACCACTTCTCCTTCAGCAGCGTGATTCAGCCTTGGCTGCTTACTTCATTCAATGCCTTTCAGGTTTTAACACATCCACAATGTTAACAGAGAAGTGTAGAGATTATTACAAACATGTGGTGGTTCCCCAGGAGATCTGTATGTTGTTCTTTGACCTGGTGGCATTGCTTAAGAGCGTTCCTGTCAGGGATAGAGGCAGTGTGTCACTACACTGGGTGTTGGAAGATATTAGGTGGGATATTTAGCAGAGGAAGAGGTCAGAGCTGACAAGGGATATTGCTCCGAGGCTGAATATAGGGAAGCTAATTTGGTACATGATCACAAGCTGCCTTATTCTCAGCTATGCCCTGGTGCTGCAGTGGTGCTCTGAGAATGGTGCTTGTTCTACAGAGATGAGCAATAGGCTCTGCCAAAGTACAATCAGCCTGATATGTGTTGCCCTTTGAATTCTCTTTTCTTGTGGGCGCAACAATGAAAAATCATTTTGTGTTAAGAGCTGTGAGCCATAACACAGTGTCAATTATAAATACAGTGAAGTATCAGCAGAAGAAGCTTCTAATCACCCTTGAATTCTGAGTCAATCCAGAAGTTTAAGATAAGACTGAGCCCTCTTCTTTTGAGATTATCCCATTGAGATCCAGATCAAGCAGGTTTCCTAGAAAACCAGGAACTTTAGAGTCCCGTTTGAATGCAGTACTTTATGCTTTTAAGGTTCATAAATGCTACTATGACTCAACCTCTTAATTTACCTTAGAACAGTTCAGAGTAAAAATGGCATTCCTTATGGTTTGGGGTGTTGGGTTTTTTTACTTATTTTGTTTTGTGGGTTGTTGTGGTTTGGTTTTTTTTTTTGGTTGGTTGATTTGTTTTTGCTTTGTTTCCCCCCCCCCCCCCCCGTTATTTTCTTCTATACCTCTTAGGAACATAAAGGAAGCACAAACTCCATTAAAATTGGTTAACCAAATGTGATTAGAACAAAACTTGGTTTTATATGAAAAAAATTCTGAGGATCTTCTCCTCCCTTCCCCTAAAAAATAGGAGTTCAAAGAAGCTGTACTTTCAGATACTATAATTAGGCTTGATTCAAAAAAAAAAAAGAACCTTTTCGTCTTAATTAATATAAGGGTTCCTTGAGAAAATTTCAAATGCCTTAAAGAGTGATTTTCTTTTAATTTTTAAAAGCTTCTCTTTAATTTAAAAGTTAAAAGGCCTTTGAGGCCAATATTGGTGATGGTAGCACAGCTGAACTTTTTAGAAGAGAATAACTCTAATATCAGCAACTCATTAAAAAGAAAAAATAGTTCAGTGTGTAGGAAGCTATCTTTGGACTCACAGTATGAAGAAGTTTCTTTAGAGAACACCAAATTAATGAGAAGCAGTTTTCAGGAAATAAGAGTGTTTGTGGGTATGGCTTCTTGCTCTAAAATGGTTTCACTAAATAAATAAATAAATAAATACATTATAAAAAAGGAGAGGTCAAAATAGTTCATTCTGACAATTATCAGACAAAACGTAAAATGTTTTGGCATTTTAAAATGATGCTCTCTTTTTGAATTTTAAAATTATCTAAAGTCATAAAATATGTTAAAGAACCTTTTCTTTGGCTGAAAAAATTGATTTTCAGTTGAAAGAAAGGTTTGGGTCAGCAAAAGACATGCTCTCTCTCAACATATATGCTGCACACCCCTCTGCATCCATGAAAGACTTTAACTATTTTTACTATCAGGATAAACTGAAAAATGTGTTCAGTTTTCCAACTAAAACACCCAGTGTTTACATAGCTGTCTTTTAGGAGCATTGGATTTAGTTTCTGGCTCTGCAACAGAATTTCTGAATAACCTT